CCTTCTGCAGTGGGGTACCCCCAGCCTCCCTAGCCCTGTGGGCAGAGGGCACCACACCTGCAGAGTGGTCTGCAGCATCCGAGAGGTCCCAGAGGTTAACCCCTGCTACAATCTCCAACCCTTCCTGCTGCTTGAAAGTGAATTTGGGGCAGCTTTTTTTGCAGCAAGTTAAGGAACAAGCAGAGGAAAACCTCAGGTTTCTATTGTGAAGTGCCTGTCGGTCTTTGCTGTGGACAGGCTGTGTGTCTCTGAAGTAGTCTGTCAATCGAGGCACCAGTAAGTCAGGGGGATTAGTTTGGGTTTTGGTTTTCTACTGTAGTCTCCCAGAGCAGGTTGCCTCAGGCGTGGAAGTGTTTGAATGAGGCTTTGCAGTATCAGGTGCTAAGCAAAATACTGACTTTTTTTTTTAATTTTTCCACGTGTCCCTTAAGGGCAGAAATTTGCCAGACACAAGGAGAGTGAGACTGGAACAGCTTGGTAAAGCATCCCTGATGGAAAACTTTTCACTTGCCCGGAATTCATATGCCATTTTCTCGCTGCCCAGTGTTGTGTATCCCTGCCAGAGTGGCTTTGACTAATCTTTGCCTGTGACTCAGAACAGAGATGGGCTAGGAACCTCCTTTTTGTTTTGTTTTGTTTGATTTTTTTTCTTTTGAAAATTGAAGTGAAAGTTTATCAGCCTGTAAGGTTAAATGAGAGCTTGGCCAGCCAAATGAGGAAGTAAAACCTTCCTATATAATGAGCTCTAATCTGCTCACTGCACTTGTTTGCTCTCAGTTGACATCAGCCTTGCCATAAAGCCTCTAAATACAGGCTGACGACTTCCTTGTGAGCCCAGTACTGCTCTGAATCCAGTTTCTGGCTCGTGAATGGTGGGACGGTATTGGTGGGACACAGAAATCACAGCTCTCAGGTAAGGCAGAACAAGCAGCGCTACCTGTGAGTATGGCTCAATCTCTGGGGTGTTTGCTTCTGTTAGTTTTGGCAAACGCAGCAGGGAAGGTGGGGAAGAAAATGGCAAATGTTTTCCTAGTCAACAAGACAACAAATAACCAGTCTTGTTATTAAAAGTTTCTATGCATCTCTAGTTTGTGAAAGTAAAAATATTCCTATTTTTCTGAAAGCAGAGCAGCCCATCTTCTTTCAGAGAAACAGGTCATGGAAGGGCTTGAATGGAGTGGTGGGTTGAGGTAGTTTGCAGTGTGAGTCTCAGGGACAGAGGAGGAAAACGAGGTGGCCCAGACCTAAGGTGTGAGGGGGTCACCACTGTGGCAGGGAGCAGTTGCTGTGCTCCTGGGGTTACTCGGCATGCATGCCTAGTTTAGCGAAGACTCAAATCTGCTCTGCCTTGACCAATTCCAGGTCTGGCTGGGGCTGTGTCCCCTCTGCCCCCACTTGGGCAGGATAGGGCTTTGGTCGGGGCTTTGAGGAGCACCAGCTCCCACTGAGTCAAGCTGGTCCTTTCTGTGGGTCTGAGGCTGCTGAAGATGCTGCTTGAACACACACCTGTGGGGCAATGGGTCCTGCGCTCACTGTTTGCAAGTGGAGCAAAGACCTGGTGGCATGACTAAACAAAAATTATTCTTTAAAGTAATTTAAGATGAGGAATTAGAATATAGCCACCACTTTTTTGGAAAAGTTTTCACAAAAATTTCTAATTATTATTTTCAAGCCTTCCAAATCTGTCAAAATATGAAAAAGACAGAAGATCTTTACAAGAGTCTCAATTTTTTGGTCAGAAGTAATTTTTTTTGTAGCTAAAATATTAACATTAAAATCGAATTTTGGAAATGTGACTAAAGCCATTCCCTCCCTGTGTGTGAGAGACAGTGTGTTTGTGTGTGTGTATGCAAGAAGGGATACAACAACACAGAAAGAGAGCGATGCTTTTTTAGCTAGAACATAGAATGGGTACACAAATACTGGTGAATAAATTTAGCCTGGACGTGAGAAGACTTTGGCTCTCAGTGGAGGGAAAACAAGAGCAACTTCCCATCAGTGTCTGTCGAGGTGAGGGGGAAAAAGTGGCAGGAGGAAATATAAGGAGCTAGAAAATGAAGATTGTAAGGTTCATAAATGGGATTTCACAACCTGTTTGTCTGTGATAACAAAAGGTGGACTCTGTGATGCACAATTTCTCCTTTTGTCACATGTTCTTGTGCTGGTTACAAGAACCCAACTGACCTGTTGGACTTGGGCACGCTACTAACCGTTTACTAATGCGTGAGCTTGTGATTTTATTATCTGTTAATTCTCTCTTTAGAAGGATGACATCGGTATTGGCTTTTATCTCAGGGCTGCAAACTTGTTCTCTCTGTGGTGAAACTCCTGCAGTCACAATATTGCTTGTTTTTTAAGTATTTGGCCAGACTGCAGCAGAAATCCAGTGGTCAACTTTGCAGAAGTAGCATGAGTAGCTTGTTACTGGTGATGACTGATGCCACATCATATCAACCCCAGGCAGCAACCCAGAGCTCAGTGTTTCCCATGCCTCGCCTCAGCTCACCCAGCCCAAAGGTGTGCAGAAGGGCCAAGCCTTGCAAATGCTGCCTCTGTCTGCCAGGCTGCGAAGTGTGCAGATGTGGGCCATGGGCTTAGGGATGCCTGGGATGGGGCTGGAAAAAGGATGTGATGAGCAGCCTTCGTCCAGCATGTGCTCACGTCTGCTGCTGCTGGAGCTGCGAGGTGTGGGGTGGGAGATGGACGTGGCCTCTGCACTCTGCAGCCGGAAAGCTGTCTGGTAAAAGTCTGAAGGATTGACTTGAACCTACTTTGAGATGAATTCCAGGACAAACATACGCACAACACAATGAGATGCTAATGCAGTTAATTAAAAAAAAAGAGGGGGGATACGTAATGGGGATATATCCCCATATGTGATATGCGACATTAATAAAATAGAAGAAAGCATCAGAATAGACAGAAGTGCAGGTTTAAAATATAATAATGATGGCTATTAAAATATGTACTAAATACTTTCTTTTCAACCTGAGGACAGATAGCAACTGAACTTTTTAATTTACAATAATTTCTTAAAATTATCTAGAGATAAAACCAAATAGTAGTGCACATTAAGCGTCTGGAGCTACTGACCACACACCTGGAAGCAGGGTTTGCTACAGCACTAGACCAGCTGTGGCAGCTTCAGCTATATTTGGGTACAAAGATACATTAATGAATTTCAGTTCAGAGAGTAGTTATTTCAAAGGTAAGAAACTATTTCAGTAATAAAAAAGCAGGCAAATTCCTTTTCATCTTCAGTCCATGAATTAAAAACAAGACTTAGTTGTAAAAGCTGTTACACTTGTGGAGTGCACTGTGAGGATAATCCAGTCAAGCCCACTGGCTAAAATAAGCAACATTTTGGTTTAAATAGAAAAATACATGTGGTAACTGTTTTTTCCTTATGTATATGACATACTCAAGGTGGTTTTTATTTTACCAATGCTATTTGTCACTTTTAATAGAGTGCCAGATTTCTTCCACCGAATAATACCTGAAAGTTATGAGGCTATGTGGAAAAGTAAAGGTCAAGGTTGTATGAGGTGGGGTTATAAACTAATGATCACATTTTCCTGCTGAACTAA